TTCTTATCAGCAGCGGCCTCTCCCACGCGGCCGAACTAAATGAATGAATGAATGAATGAATGAATTACGTCACAGCAGAGATGCACTTTATACGTGGAACAGAGTTCCCGTGCAGAAGTAGGCGCCCACTTGTTCCCGAGGGAAAGAAATAATTACAGACGCCTCCTCGGTGAAACGGCCAACTACCAGGGAGAGAATGTAACGAGGAAAAAAGGAGAAAGAGAGAGGAAAAACGATCGGTTACAGCTTATACTTACGTAGAATGTTAACTACTGACACCGAGATCCGCCAAACCCACCTGCCTACAAAGCCGATATCGCTAAGTTGAATTGTTTTGCAATGACTAGAAGGACCGTTACGTGTTCGCGATGAAACTTGCATCGAATTTCATATATATTTATCTGCGTTTATTTTCCTTTAGCGAAAAAAATAATAATCGTCGAGGTGAAAATACTACCGCGAATTTCGCGATGACGCGCGCTTTTACCTCGTGGAAGCGTTCCTTTCGCAAATTCGCTGAAATTGAAACTCGTATTCGGGGACCACCGGCCATATCTTTCTCTCGTTGCATCCAGCGAATTCCAGAATTAAACGAGCCCATTGCAGGCGGCTGAACGACCACGAACGACGACGCGTACATTTTTATGAACGTTACAGGCGTTCGCTCGCGTTCCAGCGCATCACGATTTTCCTGGAACCTTTAACCAGAGAATTTAGCATGAGGAACCGAACGGAACCTTCGGTCCGTCCATCGGTGGAAAAAGAACCTGGACGAAGTAACGTGCGAACAACAGGTGAAAATAAAAGTAGCATACGTAAGACGAGCAGGCGTCTTCGTTCGATGTACATATTTCGGATCAAGATCGTACCAATACGCCCCGACACTTCGACATAATAGAAAATTTAATAGGGTCGTAAAGAACATGGCACTCCAGAGAAAGTTGCATCCATCTGCTGAAACGAGACATTTTGGAAAATTTCCTTCCATGAAATTCAGCAATAATTTTAATATCATCCGAGGCAGAATTGAATAATATGAATTTAAATTCGAAATTTAAAATTTTGCACCATGTAAATGTAAATTTAATTATATGAAAAAAAAATCTACATGAAAAGTCCCTAGTTCTGGAAATATGATAAAATTCATTTTGCTATCAAATAGCTAGAAAATCTTCCTTCTAAGAATTAATCATCGATTCCATGATTAAAAATGCATTGATTTTTAACGTGATAATTAACTGCAAGTGAGATTTACAGAATGAAGCTACGCTGGATACAAACGTCAATGGATTCCAGAGAATCTTACGATCATATGTACTTTCCGTACCAGGAACGTCCTCACCGCGAATTGCCGCGCTTTTCACGACTAAAGTTGTTATCGGCGCTTACGTAATTAAAGGCGCTTAGCTATTGCACTCAATGCCACACTTAACGCACACAAGTGCGATAAAGTATTCGATAAAAGAGCTTAATGTATCTGAGAAAAATAAACTGACATACCCGTTCATTGTTTCTTACACACGGAAAACATCAGAAATTCATTTTGACATTACAATAAGAAAAATATACTTTAACTGAATTTAAATTTATTTTTAATTAAATAAAAGATAAAAATTAAAAATTTAAGATAAAATAATTTATACTTAAATTGCTTATTTTCAAGTGATTCTGCTTCATTTTCAGAAATATGCAGCTATTGCGAAACCTAAATACATCAGTCATTTTATAGTAAGAAGGTATACATAATAGGTTTCAGTAATCGAAAGGGTTAAAAAAAGAATGATAGTGAATTTAAGATGTAGATGCCAAAGGGGCACCAAGCTCACGTAACACGGTACTGAGTATTCCCTCACCGTGGAGACCGCGGCGCGAATGGCAAAAAGGCTTAACCGCATTCCGGCGACCATTTAAACCGCCGCGTCGAGGTCCCACGCTTGACCGCAAGCAGCGACCGATCGACCGGCCGGCTATCGATTGACGTCACTTGGTACCGCGCGACCTTCGAGTTCCCGCGCGATTTACTGCGCATGCTCAGACTCTTCCAGCGTACACCTGCACACGCGTCGCTAAAAATCCGGCTTCCAAGACTCGTCCGTTCTAATCAATTTTCTCGATTACTTCCTGTATCTTGATACACTTTTAATTTGAATCGTCTTTTAACGGAGACTTTTAATTCTTAAGTCTGGAACGTAGACGCGCTGGCATAGCAAACGTGGCCGGCAGTAAATGACCGATCGGATACTAGAGACGTCACGCTGCGTGGCGATGCAGCCCCCCTAGTAGTGCATCGCTTGCATGAAAAAGACGCGCATGCGCCCCCCCGTTATGCATCTGCGTGCAACAACCCTGACGTTTACCTTGTCCCTCGGAAATTGCTCAATCCAAAGCGCACTTTATTCGCTTAGATAGAACAGTTTCCATACGTGGGTAAGTTTATCTGTCCACTGGATAGGATAACAAATGAGACGGTGGTTAAATTAGAAACGACGTGGCGAATGATAAACCCTAGTATCATCGGAAACGAAAGAGCCGATTGGAGGGAAGTAAAAAAATGTAGGTTCGTTATCGGTACTCCGTTGCCTCAATATCTTTTAAGAAAAGAGCACAATTCTAAAAGAAAAAAAGTAGGTAATCGAGTGAACTGTTAAATAAATCAGATATACTCGAGCCACTTGGTGCAGAGGTCTTGACAGATATCAAAATGGGTGTTTTCTCGTTCGTTTACCGAAACGAGGTCAAACCTTATAATCGTGGAATTACGCAAAAGTGAGAGCTGATTATATTTTTGGCTGATTTGGTCGGTGCTTTTATCATTTCTTCAGGCAAACTAATTTTATCGTTATGCTAATTCGACCGCGACGGGAATATCTTATTTTATTGAACGAAACTCATTATGTCTCCCGAAAGTGATGCTAAATAGTCATTAATACGTTTAACGAGGTCGAACCGTCGTGCACCGGTTTTGCGTTGTTTCACTGACCTGTCTGGCCGCGGTCAAAAGTAGTCATTTGCAAGTCGTGGCCCTGGCAATTACCAATTACGAGCTGTGACACGGCAACACGAAAGACGAATCTACGGTGTGTCCGGTCGCACGGTGCCGTCTTGATCCATTAAGTCGAACCGATCAACGAACGGCATACTTCAGAACACCCTAACCCCGATCTTCCCGCTTAGGAACTGTTCCTGCCGTTTCATTTATGCGTCCCTAAAATGTCACGATCGATAGCCTACGTATCGTAACACCAGGTGGAAAAGTAAAACTAACGATAACTAGTATCGTTGTTCGATTCGACGCATAATCGGCATAAGTGGAGTATACGAGTGTTGGATCACGTGTATGCTCGTTAAGTATCGTCGCACACGTGCACGTGAATGCAACTTACACACGAGCTATATGCAACGACGCTCGTTACGCGACTCTTTCCTCGTCATGCTCTCCTATCATACAAACAACGTCCACACAATCGTGGGGCTCGTCGTTTGAACGAGCTATCGCGTAAGTACTGGTACGAGCGTATATGATATCTATAGAACGAGTTAGGATGTCGCCGTGTGACGCGACGTATTTTCAGGTGGCAAACGGAACAATTTTCCTCGACTAACCGAGACGCCAGTGCACGGCCCGAACGAATTATGCTAGTCGCGCCAAATCACTTCGCTCCCCGGAATCACTATAGTTAGATCAAGCAGACAAGGCACGTGAGGGAACGACGTCTTCTAGCTAGAATGATACGTGACGAGCCCTGAAAACGAGCAGTGAACCATCCGGAAACCTAATCACCAACCTGCCAGACCAACCAGCCTATATGAAGAACCGAGGAATTTTTCTGCGACACGCCTACATTTTTATGCAAATGTAATTAAAAATAAGTTGAAACGATTCAAACGCTGGATATTAATTGAATAACTTGAAACTAATAATCTGTACGTTTACTTATTAACCTTCGACACAAAGGTCTCAAAGATTCTAATAAAATTTTCAAAATTTGGTTCGACTATTTCAATTTGGAAAATAAAAAAAGAAAAATTGTCGTCTTTTTGTTAGACGCAAGGCCCACGAACATTCTTGGCGGTGTTTTTCAGTCTGGTATTCAGTCATGCCTTACCAATGACGAATAACAGGGGGGACGCGATTAGCATACTCATACGGGTACCTAAATTCGGCGAAGTACGCTCTCAAAACGCTCTGCCGTCAATTGCACTCGATTAAGAGGATCCTTAGTTCGACCTTGCTGCCTTCGTTGGGAGGGTACAAAAGAACAAGATGAATAAACTCATTAATCCTTTAAGAGACGTACAGGATAAAACGTATCCGACCCGACAGCAAACAATACCAGAGTGCATAATTCATTGCAGAAAAATAAATTTACGTTGATATATAACTATATCTAAGCTGAATTTAGCAAATAACCATCGACATTTTATATTCTATGTATGTTATTTTTTATACTTGGAATTTTCGAGGGTTAATAAAATTGTTTAATATTGATTATGATCAACATACTCAAACCATTAAATATTGTAATAAATAGCCATACATCCCTTAAATTATTCGTGTTTCTTTTTACCCTATTACTTATCCTACAGGCGAGGAATACCCATAAATTTCTGTTTAAATTTCAAATAAAACCTGCTACCTGAAGGTGCTGTGAAGTTTGATGTTTATCACTTCCTCTTTACTTTTCTGACAACACATAGTAAAATGTATCCTGGCACGAAATACCCAATTAAGTATACAGGGCGTGGTTGCTTGTTCCAAGTTTTTAATTTTAATTTCATTTTAATTTTAAATATTAATATTTTTTTTGTAATCTTTGTCTAGACATCGATAAGTCAAGCACAACATGCGAGTACAAACGCATAAAAAGTATACTGCTCACTTTAGCTCAATTGTCCTAGCATTTTTAAACATGATGAATTGCACATTTCAACTAAGAAGAACAGTATACTGAAACAAAATGACATTTGTTACAAAAATAATGAAATAAGTCAGTACTCACCAGAATCAGAAGGTGTCTGCACACCGAGGTGTTCCAAGTTTTTAGAGACCGGCTGATGGATGTGGTAGCAATGGTCGCTGAGAGTGTTCCTGATATTGGTTTCCCTGTGCACTTGACACTGACTCTCGTCTTCTTTTCTCCTGTCATGGAACCTGGCCAGTTGACCGGTGACCTCGCTCACTGGCACAGCCTTTGTAACCACCTCCGGCATGCACTCATAGAGTTTCTCGGTTAGGTTGATCTGGTCGTGTAGGTTGATCTGGTCGTGTTTGAAAGATGGTGCCTCTTCTTCGGTTTCCGTGTCGGAACTCGAAGTTTGAGGTGTTTCCGGCCTCGTGGAATCGCCGTCGCTCTCCAGATTTTTCGCGCGGCACGTTTGCTGGGCTTGTTGCTGGCACGTTGGCAAAGATTTTCCCCCCGTTTGAGCGGCACTGGCCCGAGATATCAAAAGACTTCGTCCAGCCGGGATCTTCTTTTGTATCAGCGAGTCCTTTTTCGCGGGTAACGTCCTATTGTGCTCTTTACTTATGCACAGCCCAGCCCACATGCAATCGTGATGACGAATCTCGCGTGACGCCAGACAGGTCATCTTGTTGTACAGCAGGTCCGGCAGGACACCGTCATCGAAGGTACGCTCGTGGTAGATGTCCGAGTAAGCGTCAACTCGGTCCAAGGGGAAGTCCAAATCGAACTTCTTCCATATGTCGTCGGACACCACGGTGGCGGTGTCCAGGGGCTCGTCCAACAGGCCCAGGTCAGAGCAATCCCAAACTGGCACCGGCATTTCGCCTGAAGCGTTATCAAAACATGTTCTCCTTTTTAATTTTTCTTTTGCATAAACGAATAGCATGGACGTGAATCATTAATCAATGTATGTAGAATTGCTCGACGTTTATTGATACAGTAAAAGACGCGGGGCTTTTTAACTGAACACCATGGAATATTTCAAAAGGAACTGAAGCTATCGATAGAAAGTTATTTTAACGCGAACACCCAGTGTATGTAGAAGTATTTAATGAGCACAATTGGTGGATGAGGGGTGAAAGAGTCGTAAGGTTGATAACGAGCTATGGTGTTTTGTATTATATTGAATGGCACGGTATGGCGATATGGCAAAGCTGAAAGAGCGAGGATGATAATGGAACGTGGGAGGTAAGGAATGTAATTAAAGATAAGGAAGCAGCATGTAAGAAGCTATTCAAACTCGTAAGGGAAACATTAAATAAATCTATCTATCCATAATGGTTAGTTTTCTAGTACATAATTGAAGAGGAATTTCGAAGTTTCTTTCTTTCTACACCCTAGTACGATTTCAACGAATTTCCATTACAGATGGCTCGTGTCAATCATCCAAATAATCGGGATTCACTTCCTTCTTCGCAATGTTACAACGTGTTGCTTAACTGTGGAGAACGGTAATAGCAGTTTGCTATTGCACAGCGTGTCGTAACGTCTGTGTATTATCACGGAATCAGCAAAACGAATACAGTTAATACTATGAAAATACGAACGCGCAGCTTAGTAAAAATAGACGTCCTTCGGTAAACGACATATCACTTTGAACAGTTTTTTGTCGCGCCTCAACAAGAAACGACACTTCAACCAAACGACAAAATCAATAAAGAACGCAAAACAGTTCGACAAGACACGCTTAACGTCGATTCCTCGCGGCTGGCGAATTTATTCGACATGCAAATGATGCACACAGAACATTAACAAGTCGTCAGAATTAACAAGAGAAGAGTACAACCATCCTCGAATTGTCGTTTGGGTCCAAAGTTTTCTGGCATAGGTACCAGAACCCAAAGTACCCAAGTGAACCCAAAGGTGATAAGAAAAAGATAAGTGCCTATATTAAATTTTCCCTAGGTTCTAATTTAAAATCTCTGCTTGCTACCTTAGAAAATTAATGTATAATAATTCGCTTCTAATTGTTCGAGTATATTGAATTTGTGCTGCTAGTCGCCAGTGACCTCCAGGTATTCGAAGTGTCGAAAGGCCGGTAGGTGTTCAAAAACGACGAAACGAATTTACTCTTCAACGAAACGCGTCAACCTTGGAATAAATCACGACCCACCTTGAAACATCCCCGTGGACGACAGTGACCTTTTCTTCTCCCTACGTGAAACCGTTACATCTTTCACTATATAGACTCACGGGCAACGGTTCACGGTACATTTTAAACACCAGGTGCTACCCGGGGACCCTTAAGATCTATCATGACCTCGACATGCCGCATACGCAACGAGCCATCGTGGTCACATTCTAAACTGTTCTAGGTAACATCTGAATGCAAAGAGGATACACAGTTGACTCCGCTGTATCCGCGATACGAAGAAAAATCAATTCTCTCTTGGGATGACGCATCACTTTGCACATCGTAACACTGGCACAATTCAATCCTTTCGTCTCGTCACCAGTTCTTTCGAAGAATGCAACCGTGCTTGGATCAACACGTTGACAGAAGAAAATGCGACCAGAGTACCGGGGTGTCGCGTGTGCATCGAGAAGTCACATGGATTGACACGAACTGGGTGGCACGAGTGACTCATGTGTCGCACAATATTCGTCTGGTATATCGGTTTCATAAATCTCCATACGAGATAGAGATGTTTTCTGTATTGTTGATGATACCAGCGCAAACTTTATATCCGCTCGATTAGGACCAACACGACACCCTCTCACGTTCCCAAAATGTTCCCTGCCATTTGCACCATTTTCGGTACATTTTCAACTTCCTGTTAACAATCGATGGCAGAGAACGTGTTGAATATTTATAAAATTTCAACGATACGTTACTATCCATGATAAGAGTAAATTTTCTCATCAACACTGACATTTTGTCGGTTGTCAAATTTGTAGAAAATTATTAAATAACTTTGATGGTATTAAAAACACAAGGGTTCCGAAAATTCCAATTGAACAGTGGTATAATTCGTTGGATTATTTGCAAAAAGAATTGGATTATTTGCAATGTTCGAACCATTCGGCGAAAAGAGCTAATACGGTTGTTAATATTTTGACAAGCGTTCGGACAAAGAGACGTTTAACGGTTAAACAAGTCGTTTTTCGTGAGATTCTTATCGAGGGCCAGAAAAATAAGTAAGAAAAGGAAAGAAAAAACGAAGCGAAAGGAAGGGGGCGAGACCGTGGCCTTTGTCACTCGGTCGCCCGTGAAAAACAATGACACATTATCCGTTCCTCCTGCCCCTACTTTTGTTGCTGAATCGAACAAAAGACACTCGGTAGGGGGAATCACCTCCTTAGAACGGCCTTCAGAACGAAAGAAAGTACCACGTGTTACTTGTTAAAGAAAAAAGAAAGAAAAAAAGATACAAACTTTTGTTTAAACCGTTCCCGAAGTGTCGACAAACACAGAGGAAAAAAGTGTTCCTCATCGAATAGTAAACAGAGTCCGTGAGTGTTTTTGGGAGAAACATCAGGAATATGTCATTTCTTACACGAATTCCAACACTCGTCTGCAGGTTCTCTGCCAACGAAGAAAATCGCATTTTTTCTCTCGACTATACACGAATACAAAAAATCACATGCTTCACAAATTTATAAAGAATTACACTTTCACAAACATTGTAGTAGGTATCTTTTGCCTGTGGTTTCGTCCGTCTGACAATGAATTGAGCATCGAGGAGAAAAGAAAAGAAGAGAAATTATTCAATCGATTCCCACTGGCGTGACTAAACGAGATTTTGAAAAATGTCACTGTCATTTTCATAATTGATTGCACCGCATATCAAACCACGGACAGCGGACCATGGAGAGAGCCGCTTAATGTACTTTTAATTTCTACCCTATTCTTTTAAAAAATATTGTTTCAATATATGAAACTCTTTCATTTAAAAATTAAATTAATATTCTTGTATACATTTTGTAAGTTCCGGTCACGGTTGACCCAGGCTCCGCTGTTCAAAAGTTAAATTTCCATTCAAATTTTTATTTGGAATCCTCCTTCATCCCGCCTAGTTACGCCAATGGTGATTCGATAAAAAAATCACTTTCGTTGGACTTTCGAAAATAAATGGATATACAAACACACATGCATTCGCATATGCATATAAGATGCAGCAGATCATGGGGAGCGACGATCAAAGTACTTTTTTGCCTACACGCGTCGAAACAGAGAAACCGGTCCACCAACAGCAGCAGATAGGTGGCGGTGTGTGCTTACTAACTTCCGTCGAATATTCAAGCGTGCAACTGACAGCTTTTCAACCGTCACACTAATTCACTAAACTTCTATCATCAGAAATACGGAATACGAGATGTGATCAGGAAATCAAGATCGAGGAAATCAAGAATAATCCTGTCTATTGCCCTCAATTACACTACCGTGAATAACATCATGAAAACTAATTGCGCGCCCGACATTGTACGTGTTGCACGACATTGCGATAGAAAGTGCAATATATTGGTTAACGTATCTATCTCCGCTTGACATATTTTCACTTATATTGATCCGAACCAGACAACGTATATTATTCAGTTACGAATAATACGAGACACTTATTTGTATTTAATACGAAAATATTTTTCGAAACGTCAAAAAAGAATGTTTAAATATGTATAAAAATAATTAAATGTTAGATTTGATAGTGATTTCGTATTTTAAAAATCATTTTTTATATATTATTTTATGATTTTGTTCGATGATCGTTGAATTGTGCTTTAGGCGCGAAAAATCGACGGTATAAATTTTGGCGGCAAAATCGAAACGAAAAGGGACGCGTTCACGAGCGAACTTACATATCGGCTATTTCAAGATCTATTTATAAACGATCGTATTGTGATTGATCTAAGAAGGCAGATTGCCAAAAAGAAATACACAAGCTGATACAAACTGTTCAGAGAATCTCACCTTCTGCAGAATGAAGTTTCTCATCGATATTTATAAGCGAACAGAAATTTAGAAATAGTTGAACGAGTGGTTGGATGGATGTTCGAAGAAAGCCGAATGATCTGACACTATTTTCACTTCAATTACCATGCCGTTCTATAACACGAGTTTACTTATAATTAGATGTGTTTATTTTTCGAACGATCAAAAACTTCAAATAATTTCAAAGTTCCATTTCGATTACGTTAAAAATTCTATTTAACGGAAAAAAAAAATTTGAAGATGATCAACTATACGCATGTCACAATGTGAGACAATCATTTTGAAATTGACAGAAAAATAAAAAAAAAAAAATAAAAAAATAGAATGAAAAAATAAAATGCACTGTACAAACCTGTCAGCCACTTCGTGTTGTAAGCCAAAAGAGAAATAGTATCCACTGTGGAGCACACTTTGACACGAGTTCGAATCTCGCGCTCGAAACTGAACCGATATGCGGATAAAGGCGCGTCCCGCCTATTTTCTCTACAATTCTGATGCGGCTAAATTATGTTCGATCGGTCTCGAACGAGTGGATTGATACACGTCACTAAAACGCACTTTCTTTCATCCACGGACGCCCGTTCCCACGTTGTGTTGTAATTGAAATAAACTAACCGTGGAAAAATGTCGTGATGAAAAATATATATCCGTTCAGGCGATACAGCCGCCGGTACTACTGTCGTTCGGCCATAAACGTTCTAGCCGTTTTCTATTATCGAGACTATTCAATAAAGAAATACTACTGTTGCTGTTGTATTTGACCAAGCAAAGAAAGAATTTCATTCTCGGCACGATCTGTACGACAAACCGGTGGCTCTAACTCTGTCTCGTGCACGCGCACGGTGATCGGCGGCGACCCGTACTTTACTTTAAGGCCGGTTAGAGGCGACTAAACTAACTATTCGGCTTGTGCGCCTTCCATCTTCCGCAGGCATGCCCACCGCTGCGGGACCGGCGCCAGGACTGTGCCGCGCGTCATGGCGCCCCACCCTAATTTCACCCGGTAACTTCTTCCTTCTTACTTCATACTTCATACATTTCATATCGCTCGATAATCACGTTGCTATTTAAGATCACCGAGAACACTTCCATTCTATATATGACACAAGTATATCAGTAGATACTACGTTATTTACGAATAGTCACGTTATCGTATACCAGCATGAACACTTGATATGCTGCGATATGATAAATTAATTGTACAAACGAAAATTTTACCTATCGTATTCCTTTGACTGTTGTAATTTAATTAATTTTCATATAATTGCATACTTTAAGTGTGATTGATTTTCAGCGTTATAGAGGGTGTCTCGTGTATTGGAATGGGGTATTACTTTAAATGTAATTAAATTAATTAAATGTCAATCGCTGCATTTCATTATCCTCTATAAAAAAAAGCAATTAAGCAATTACTTTTCATTGCTTTAAAGAAAATTGTCAAATGATGAAAATTTTCGCATATCCTTAATAGATACGAGCTACGCGACATGTATGCAATTTAGAGAATATGTTATGGTTTGATGTATGCCTTTTCACATGAGTTTGTCAGGAGAGAAATGTGGAGGCCACATGTGGAGCAGGGTTGTGGTTTGCAACCTGACGGAACCTGTACGAATTTAATACTACAACCAGTGGTGTAGTATTAAGAATACAAACATTGATGACACTTGTATAGTATTATTATTTAAAACACATGACCCATAGAGATTCTAGATAAATTTAAAGCTCCAGAGTTCCTTTTGTCACTCGACCCTTAACCCTTACAGTTTTAACATACATCAGACCGTAGTACAATCATCAAGATATTCCATATCAGCCTGTTAACCGTTCTTGTAAACTGTAAATAAATCTATGGAATTATGTTTCCGGAGCTTTATACGTAATTCAGTAACAACTTCCTTTCAGTACCCTATCTACATGTGTCCAAGGCAACTGAAACAATTGTACTCCTGTCATTTCGCGTGCAATGCATTTTTCGCTCTTTTAAACTGGACTTACATAAGTTTATATAATTTGCTGTGATAAAAAAGGATAAAAATATGGTAACAGTGTTGAACTTTAGCTGTTCGAATTTTAAGGGATGAACTAATATTTCTATTCTAATGCATTCTATTCAAACTTGTTAAATGTCAAATATGAAGCTATTAACGTTTCTAATTAAGCCATAACTGAAATGGTTCACCATATTTCAAGACCTAGATTACCTTCTCAAAAAAAAAGAAGCGTAACCAAGGCTACAGCAGAGATAAGATTGGATTATATAGGTCATTACCCTAAAAAAATGACATTAAATAATCCTCCAAGATGTAATAAAAAATACTGTTATAGACAGACTCGTTATATACGTGGAAAGTGTGATGAACCCACGTGTCCACACTGTATAAAATCCTTGCATTAATAATTAACGTCCAATGACCACATATTATCTATTTCGTTGAACGTTTTTGAGTATGTTTGAAATGAAATGTGACTTTGTTTCTTAGCCTTAATCAGTTCGTCCCACGAGTGGTTAATTTCTAGGATTTGCATGTTACGACCACATATTACTCCACACACGGCCATTGTATCTATTTCAAGCATGTATTTATTGACTTGAGACTTTTATACAATGAACGCGTGTTCACGATGCCCGGGAAGGCTGCTCGTAATGTATGTATATATTTACGTAGCCCTTGACACACAATATTGTGCAATTCTAAGCAATACAGAAAATGCGGCTGATACCGATTCGTTACGTCACATTCAGTACTAAGGGTTAAATTTATGGGTGGTCTTGATGAACCGAGATAACGGAGCTTCGTGTTATTATCATCTTCATTGAAATCGAATGAAAAGTTTTAACACTGTTACATTTTAAGCACATCTTCTATATTTTTTACATCTTCTATCGTAATCATCCGCAAGTTTCATGAGAACAACTCGTTGAACTGTTCTTAACCCATAGCTATCAACTAAAAACACAATCTTTACGTATTTTATCACAAAAGTACCGCTTGAGTAACATGTAATCTACACTACAAAAGTTTCTCTTATTTCTAATGTGTAATCAGTTTAATCTCTAATATTAATGTCAGACACAATTGATACAAATTTGCTTCTTTTTTCAATTAGTTACATAAGATCGTTTATTATGAAGAAAAAAAAAGAAAATTGATATTGGTACGTATAATTCAACTAATATGTTTTTATTGATAATAATATTCATTTATTTTTTTTTTAAATTCCCGATGTTTTATTTGAAATTTTTGTTATTTAAAATTTTATACGTGGAGCGATGGATCATTGTAATACGCTACTGAGTCAATTCGTGTGGGGGCCGCGCCCGCGCTAGTCTCTTGCCATAATGTTACATATATTGCAAAAATTACGTCGTTTCGTTGAAAAAAATTACTCGAATACTTATTTGAAAGGCTAATCGAAGCTACTTGACAAATTTGAGCATCTGTCGCGATGTACTTCAAGAGATTTTTGACCTGAAAGAGCGGCGTTAGGGTCTAGTCTCTGTTCGCGTAGTATGGCGCGCCTCGGTTCAGGCAGCATCAATGCCTAGTGATAGATTCGAGTCGTTCGCGTACAAGGATCATTAAATCAAATTTTTCTTTCAAATATTTTTGTAATAGTATTTAGAATAATAAATTTATATCTCATTTAGAAATATTCTCTTCATATACTTAAATAATGATTCAACCCTCATTAACTCTTTGAGTGAAAATTCACCTATTTTCTATATAAAATATTCCATTTCAGTCAGTAATATTGCTTTGTGTAAACAGATACTCGTTATCATGAAATAGACAAATGAACATTGTATTGTACGTACATTTTAGTTCCTAATCTCTGAAGAATATATAGATACTGTAGCACGGTCATTAATGGTAAGAATTTTTTACCATGATGACTCCGAGCATAACTTATTCGTATTTCACTAGGGAACTAAATTATTTATTCATAGATATTAAAAGGAAGAAAAAATGATCTGTGGTATCTGGTTATGAAGACCCTTGGAACAGACAGAGACCAAAGTTAAGGCTGATAAACAGCTGTTGGAGGTTAGATAAGGCATTTAAAGAATTTTTTCTAGATTCGTTTTTTGTTCCTCATTCTGATATACGTTTCGTTAGTTCTCACGAAAAATGTTATAATTTTGAGGAGATATCTGAAAACTGTTGATAAAGGTAGTAATATGTTACTTAAGGGTTTTTAAAAAAATAAAAGCCAAAAAATGTCAACTGTCTTTAAATATATATTGCAATCTGGCTCATTCATTTATTTTTATCTAGATAAGGTTTTACATGCTGACAAATTTTTTGTCTTACTCCAATCATTTCCAATGAGGATCAGGTCCTACCCCTACCTCCTAGATTGATCTTAAAATTTATCATTTTGTCAGATTGGAGGTATCTAGGCTTTGTTTGGACTGAAGCCGCCTATAAGAAGGTGGTAAAGAGGCAGATCATCTTTGACAGTTCACACTTGACTGGTTCGTACGGAAGCACCGCGGCATTCCGCTTCTAAAGTCAGTTTGAAACTCGATAACTTTGAAAATCGATCCAGTTTCAGAGGTTGCGAAACATTTGCTTGAGAAACCTGCGAAAAGCTAATCTCGCAGAAATCTGATTTTTCTGTCCATCTGATTCATCAATAGTTTGCATGAGAAATAAATCCCGGACTTTATACACACTCGACAGTTTTTACCAACACCTTCCGCATATCTTTCATTCTTCATTGAATTATTACAAATAAATTTATTACAAATATCCATTTATTAAAAAATTTTTTTTAATTTGAATGCCTAGTTTTAGTAAAAGAAATGTTGTATCTATTTTGTATAATTGAATGATAGAATAAAAAGTAGCCAAAAATATTATCGATCAGTGATCTTTCCTTTCCTCCAAATTCCGCTGGTCAAGAGAAAATTGATCGTTCGGCTGGTCACGAAAGGATATTGAAAAAGTTGAACCGCGCCGACGAATCCGTCAGGATCTACCTCTTGCGGAGGAACTATCTGCCGGTGCATCTTTTCGTGGTGCGGTAGTGCAAGGAAAGAGAACAAGAGGCGACCGACCAGCAAGAGGAGTAGACAGTATAGGAATGGTTGATGGATTATTCGGAACGCGTCTTTGACAGTACCGTAACGACATTCCGAACAGAAGTTTTTCCTACCCTTCTCATCCTCTTCTCTGTCCTCTGAAGAAAGTCGTTTTATTAATTTCAATTTGTGAAACGAATTACCGTGGTTACATTAATCGACAGACGAGCTTTGTGAAAGGTGACGTATCATGTGCATCGACGACACCCTTTGCTCTCCTTTCAATGGAACATGCGCTTGCGGTTTACAGTTGGTTATCCGATTCTGCCGGAATTTTTGTGTAACTTATAGGGGTAAATAGAACGTTGTGTTGCGTACAATTAACTCTTGTGTGGGTAACCGGTTACCCCGGAACCCATCAGCCTTGATATTTCAATTATTTTGCATAAATTTTTATTTTCATATTGTGAAAGGGTTAGAGATTCAGAATGATTTTTTTATATTTTCTCAAAACCATAACAACAATTAGAATATCCTTTATAAAACCAAAAAAAAAAAGAAAATACCGTTATGTACATTATGTAGGTCTGGGTCGTGATTGACCCAGCTTCGTTATTCGAGGGTTAAATGAGCACGATTGATCGAAAAGCCGACTATCATTCCATGGATGGCTATCAGAAGCCCGATCGTCACTGCCATGACATCGATGTATCGAATGATCGATCAGTTCGATCTCGATTGGTCAAAAGCCGAATCACTTGGCACGGAACGATTTCGATGCTCTTCATTCATTAAACTTCGCTTGCTGCGAGTACACTGACTGACAGCAATAAGTATCCTCCGCCAGACGGAAGATAGTGAAAGGTGGAGGTGGA